ATACCCTTTTTTAACAATATTTTAGTTAAGAACAGGTGAATTACTGGTTAATATCAAGATACCAGTCCTTAAGAGGACCCCCTAATCCCCTATGTTGTTTGAGTCTAATTTAAATTATCAAATGTTGGAGAACCGTGATCACACCGTCCACAAAAACGATAAGATTGAGCACCGAGAAACCATTAAATATAATGAATAATAAATGTACGTTTTCTGTTGTATACCGTACAAAGGACAAATCAATTGGTCTTAATAAAGAATTCGCATACTAAGCGTATATCTTTTTCAGCGATGACCAGACTAAACAGCGAAGATAGAAATGACAAAATCGGTCTGAAATAATGCACAATTTATTAACATACCAAAAGGTTGGGTCCAAGTAGTCGGTAGAAACTTTGGAAAGTTTGTTTAGAGTAAGACTGCCACTAAGAATAATTGATAAGTTTAGAATTTCCCCTAAGAATGATTGCAAGTACGCGGTTTTTCTCTATCTACGGAGAATACTGAGGGAGGATATGGTCATCATCAATGTGATTAAATACTGTAACCTTGAGAAGGATGCATTTCCTTGGAATACATGCTACAATTTTAACTTAACCGGTTGTACGTATTGTAATTCAATAAGTGAGGGGATGGATGGGGTTTACATAATAAAGAATAATAGCAAAACAAAAATACTGATAAAGAAAAATAAGCAAAAAATATAAATAATGGGGTGCCAAAGTATAAAGAATAACTGTGGAAATTAAAAGAATAAGGTAATACTGTGACAGTACTGATTACAGAAATTAAGGACCCCCGCCAAATCCAGATCCTATAAGTTATGAAGATATTATAAAGTTATGTGGCAATGCATAGTTCAATTTAAGATTGCTTCAAAACTACTACATAAACCGATATTGATTCGACAATAACTAGATAACTGAATACATTGAAAAGAAACATAAGTTTGAGGGGATATTGGGAAATGAAATTGTTAAACTCTGAAACCAATTTTGGAACTCATTTTGCGTTTTATATTTGCCAATGCATTTTGTATGCACATTTGAATGTCAAACTTTCCCAACAATAGAATATTCTGGATTTAAGCCACGTCACACATATTTATACTAGGAACTAAGTGGCAAAGACGATACAAATTTTGCAGTCTGCAAATAGTAGCAAATTAATAATTACTGATAATTACCTTAGTTCTAATTTGATACGATTTTTTAATACGATTCTAATGTCGAAGAATTGGCTCCCTTAGACCATTCTCATTTCAGACTGCATGGTAGGAAGATATCGATCTAATTTTTAAAAATCAAACACAGGACTATCTTTAAGCTATTACCAGGTCAATTTTGTCGAGGTCAGCCGCTTCATGCGTTATCCGTAAAAATGTTATAGTAAACATTTCAGTAGGATCAAAATTATGAAACGCATATTTAATTTTTGTCAGTAAAATTTTAAAAGATCAGTTGTGTTTGCATTTAAAATAATAAAACATTTATCTTTGATCTCAAAGACTGATTGATTTGACGATGATTGTTGGTTGCTTAACGACCAGTGACAAATAGTTCACGCATGTTTAAGACGAGAACAAATTACCTGTACCAAGTCAGTAATATGACAGTTGTTTTTCATTCGTTTGATGGTTTTGAGCTTTTAATTTTGCCATTTGATAAGGGACTTTCCGTTTTGAATTTTACTTGGAGTTCGGTATTTTTGTTATTTTACTTTTTAACAATACATGCAATTGGTAGGTCCTGTATTAGGAATTGATCGGGATGACAGGAGAGATATTTGGACTGTCACTTGCAATTGATCACCTACGGACCGCTCAATGAGTTGTTGCAAGGGTTATTAACGTGTACAGATGCATCGGATTAACCGTCCATATTCCGACCGACCGTGGCTGCGTACTTACACATCCCGCATATCAAAACAGACGCCCACTTTGGCTAGGGTTTTACTGCCGGTCGGAAAAACACCAAAGTGACCCTATTTCTATTCCCCAGTCACCCTTGAGGTGCACAAATACTGACTGTTTTAATTTTTATCTACATACGTAGCTCTATCCATGGTATAGGCTCCTCCCATTTTGAAGAAGGGTTATTTCTTGGGATTTTCTGCAGCAAAATCTCGATTGAAATTGTCATGATGTTATTCTGACTGAGTTTGTATTTGATTCTACAGGTCTGTAAAAGAGTGATGCTCATGTTGCAGAACATTTATTTTGCCCTTTCTATGAATGTATCATTAACATCCTTTACACAAACAGTAAGATAATTTATCAGAAGTGATGATCATATTTTAGTAAATTTTTATGTTAAGTGTCACAGTCGAATAAAAACCACAGGAACTATGCATTATTTTCAATTGTACGAAATAAACAAACTGTTACATGTAACAAAGCATGCATTGTACTACATTTGAATGTGAAAACAAAAGTGTCTAATATATCTTATACTATTTTGGCATTATCACCACAAAGAGATAATTCAGCAAACTGGCATTCAAGACATTGAAACATATTTCAAATAGATAACATTTGTTTCTTTATTGTAGAAGAAAAAACTGCCATAAAACATGCCTTAAAAGAGAGGCTAATCATACCAAAGGGACATTCAAACTCGTACGTCGACAATAAACTGACGCCATGGCTAAAAAGGAAAGAGACAAACAACAGTAAACAAAACACAACGTAGAAAACTAAAGACTGAGCAACACGAACCCAACCAAAAATTAGGGGGATCTCAGGTGCTCCGGAAGGGTAAGCAGAGCCTGCTCCACATGTGGCACCCGTTAATGAGAGAATACAAGCACACGCAATACATGCAATACACACCAATATCATGTAATTTTAGATATAATTAACATAAAGTTAAGAGAAAGAGGTTACTGGAAAGTTTTATTACGGTTTGGTTACTGTCTCATTGTTATAACTCACATCTCTCATATAATAACTTCGTGATATCTTCTATCAAATGCAACGGTCTTTAACACACATGAACGCAAACGAGGGACGTTTTTGATAAGTAAATATGATACATTTTTTTAATTCTGGTTAAAACTATAAAAAATCAAGTTTGACATCCGCTCTTATATATGTCAGTATCATTGTCACTTTCGTGTATAAGATAAAAGAGACACACTTATGACAATAACCAAACTTATGCAAGTCCTTAGCGATTTATAAATAGACAAGGAAGTAATTAAAAATAGATTATTTCATGACTGTTTAGATTTAAAATACAATAAAATTAATCGCTTATTTGATTGACAAATCTTGTTAAATAAACTCATACATGTCGCATATCTCTTTTCCCTTGGGTACCATTATATACAAAATTGATGTTTATCTGTATACAAGCTTCTTTTGTCAATGTGTTTCGCTAAGAGGTTATCTTGGTACAAGCAGTTCTTACTGTGGCGAGTTTTTATCGTTGATTCTAAGCAAATTTTAACACTACATGTATAAGAATATTAATAAAAGTATGATTCAATTTTGTCATTTTACAGTTATGAGACTGTTATAAAATATAGAGGTGGAGGGTTTATGCCAATGAGACAGCAACCCATTGACACAAAAACCAAAAGCCATTTTGAGTTTAAGATGCATTCTTTAACAATGAGTTAATGTCTATACAATGTGTTAATAAAGTTCTAAATTGTCCCCAGTCTAGGAAAGTTGTGAATAATTCAACTATCAAAGATTTGTCATTAATAAGAAATTCCCTCCAAAATGGGGGAAAACCAAAAAGACAAACGCTAACGGGGTTCATTTTTGTGACAGGTACATGGCCAAGTGGTGGGGTTAAACTAGATTTTTGAGATCTCAATCCTCTACCTTTTAATTTCAATTTATGGTATAACAAAGGGAATATATATGAAGGTTTTTGGTATGGTTCGTGTTGCTCACTCTTTAGTTTTTATGTTGTATTTTGTAGACTGCTGTTTGTCTTTTCGTCGGTTTTTGTCGTGATTTTGTCGGTCTCGTCGACTTTTGATTCTCCCTTTTTGGTGTCTTCTGCCTCTTTTATATGCCGTCCTATACTCTATTAAAGTTCTCAGTTATATGTAAACTAGAATGAATTTCATAACAGTGTGGACACTGAAACATAGTAATCAAATGTTATCGTGTCAGTCACTGGCTGTCGACAACAAAGACATCACGCAATTACAGTATATCAGGGGCCTCTCAATGGGTTTATACATAATTACTATCTTTACACATGTCCATTCATAATACAAAAGTTTTTTGCATGGAAGTTTATAGGAATCTGTTTTGAATATTTTTATATACTCACAACAAAAAGTTTCTTTTGACAGAATGAGTATATTCAGAGGTGATATCACCAAGTAATCGAGAGAAAAAAACGTTATGTTTTTTCTTGCACAAACGTTCTGTGGCTCCTTTAAAAAAAAATATAAGAAAACATTTATTCGTACGAGTTGATGTAGAGTAACCTACAATCACCTTCCAAGCTAAGATTATTTTTGTTGGTAATAAGAACCCCGGACCTTCATAAAAATCATTTAAGTCCTCTGGACTGCATGATTTTTTGCACGGAAAAAATTTGAATTCCCATCGAAGACTCCGAAGGATCAGATTTTCATAAACATTTAAATATCATTATAACAAAAAATAACTCGTGAAAGTATCAAGAAGCATATGAATCCGGTCTTGTGTGCAAAATTTACGTTGATTGGAGTCAAGAGTAGCTTTTGTGGAAACACTGATATTTATTTTAGATTTTGTTATACCTGAACATGTATAACAAAAGTTATGGGATCTATATTTTTTTACTACAAGTTAAGCAGGTAATTTCAATGAATTTGGTCTTACTCAACTATTTTTTTTTTTATCTGAGGACGCATATTTTAGACAATTCTGCATAAACGTTTATTTGCATTTTCATTCATGCTGATTTCAAAAGCCTCTTGCATAGCCACCCCTCCCTTATTTTAACTGAATCAGGAATGGTCATCCCCTTACAATTTGAAATTGTACTCACTTCTTTTTCGGTTTCTGTGTTTCAATATATGTCCATGAATTTAATGATATGTTCACAAAACATCTGTTTTGGAATAATAAATCATGTGCACAAGACTAAACTGGTCAACTGTAACACGAGATAATGCACAGGTTAGTATGCCAACATAACAGTAACAGTGTAATAATAAACATTAAAAATTTGTGCACTAGTTTAATTATTCTAGTGTAAAAGGTATTGTGAACATATTTAATTCATGAATAGATACTGAAACACAAATTAAAAAAGGTAAGTACAATTCTAAATTAAATCGCTGTGATCCGTCAAATCGTTTTTCCAATCAACAGAACAGCTGCATTTAACAGGTCGGGCACATTTCCCTATACTGACATGTATTTTTTAGCATACTTATGACCCCGCCAATGCATGTATTAGTGTTTATTTACAAATAAAGCATTTTTTATTTTATTTTGGCCATTGACCAATCGACTGAACGATGTGCAATGCATGATGGACTACTTGTCTATAACTGACACACTACTTAATGTTTCACTTATTGCCAGAAAAGAATTTTTCTTACTTTTTTCTCTTGATTACTTTGTGATATCACCTCTGAATATACTCATTCTTTCAAAAGAAACTTTTTACTGTCAGTATATAAATATATTCAAAACAAATTCAAATAAAGTTTCATGCAAAAAAAATATTTATGAATGGACATGTGTAAAATAGTAATTATGTATATCCTCATTGAGAGGCCCATGACATACTGTAATTGTGTGAAGTCTTTGTTGTCGACAGCCAGTGACCGACACGATATCATTTAAGTATCAGTTGTCCATGTCCACACCGTTATGAAATTCATTCTAAGGCCACACCAATTTGATTATCAGTTCTTTGGATTTTCCCGCTCCTGTTTTGGAGAAATTGACTTTTCAATAAAAAAAAATAAATACCGCTTCCGCAAATTTTTGGGCCGCATGCCGCTCCAAATTTTGTTTCTTCTTGAAATTTTTTTTTCACATAGACGTTTTTCTTGTGCATATATTGCTCCGTTCGATTCCAACGCACGTGTGATAAATCGAATTGTAAATAAAAGATCAAAAATCGGGATGCCAACATGTAGTTGTGTCAATTCATTGCCGTGGACAAGTAGTTACTGAACACACAGTTATCCGAAATGCATCTCGTTTTATCTATGAAGACCTGTTCTAGGAGACAAATATTAAAAATCTGTCTTTAGATGACCACGATCACATCAATGTTCGTTAGAACCATCGTCATCCCGGATTATTGTTTCAACAGACATAGACCTGAATCTGAATAAGTACGTTGCAGGGCCAGGATATAGCATCAATTGCAACGCCAATGGAATAGAGGCGCTGGAAAATTAGTCCAACGATGTGAGAGCAACCGAAGTTTTAAAGCTCTCAATTGTCTTGGTACACACGAGATTGTTTGGTAGTCTATTCCAATAAAAAATTGTTTTTACAAAGGAAGACGGTTTATATTGTTCAGATTTGCTATGTGGAATTTTGAAACACCGGCTGCTGTTTTGTACAAATTTATCTACAATGTTTGTTGTTTTATAGACCTATCTATCTTGGATGAAATTAATATCAAATTCCCGTGAATTTTTAAAAAAATTACAGACTTATCTTATTTTGATGAAACCATATCTCCTTGTTAGTCTATTGGCATACAAGCAGAAATCTTTTGTAAGGGAAAATTTAAGAGTTCCAACGTTCGAGACCAAAGTGGTGGTATTGTGATAGGCATACTCATAACAATTAGGGATGTGTAATTGGTTCAATCACTTCTAGTCAAGCTAAAGAGTTTAAAATGCATTGCAGCTTTTATGAGCAAAAGGAAAGAGTATTTTGCTGTCAGAATAATGCATGTGAATGTTGTGATATGTATTTTAAGGGAATATTTTAATACATTGTGATCTACATGCATAGCAATATAAATATCTTACTCATGATGTTGAAATATTCACCTCACTCATTATGTTGATCCTTTGTATGGATAAATTATAGTTCAAAGTGGACATCACGCAGCCAATAAGCATTTTTTTTTTTATACATAATCATATTTAAATTTTATTCAACATATGTCATTTACCAAACTAACATAATTCCTCTTGTTAAAATGCATCCGCAATTTTAATGAAAATTAACGCAGACAAAGCTTATTTGACGAAAATAATCAAAACTAACTAAACCCCAGCGAGACAAGAAAGTTGAGTATGGTTCATGCGCCAATCCATCAAATTATATGCATTAGAGCATGCTTTTTCTCCTTTTTCTATGAAGTAACCCAGTAATAAAAGATTGGATATGAGTAGGCATTCATATTTTCCCACAAAAACAATCTTCCATGCAGAGTTACCGGTCCTTGCCGGGATTGTCGCAATATGTAATTAAGATATTCTTCCGCATGCTTTACCGTTTTAACATTTTCATATTATTAATTTATGTTCTAAACAAAAATATTGTTATCAGTATTCATTGAAGAGATGTATTTATAACAAACGATAAGGAATGTTATTTTGCACTCGTTAATATCCGCGTATTTATCATGTTTATAGATCGGTTACAAACCCAAAACGAAAGTTGCGTAATGGAAATCTAGGCGGCCACAGACCACAATTAATTCCTCTATTAGTTCTTTATAACTTTTTGTCTCATTAAAAAAATTGCACCGATTCTTTTTGTCTAATCTTTTGTGTGTGTAATGTATAGTACTAGTCCAAAAACATATCCAAAATTCAGAAAAATCGCTCCCCAAGATCTTACAAATTTAGCCAATACACATCCATACCCCTATGGACAAGCCAAGAGATGTTCCGAAAACTGTAAATATTACCTTTTTGCACTTAGCCTAATCACTCTTTCCATATCAAAATCAGTTAAAATACAACATCCAAAAATTTATTTCACCTCTCTTCTTTCATTTCCACCCCATAAAAACTAAGAAATGAATGAGAAAGGCAAAGAAAAAAAATAAAGAAAAAATACACTTTAATTAAAGGGAACTATATTCGTGGACAACGAAAAGGGTCATTAATTGTGGTCTTGGCCCAGGCGATAGCAATACATCGGAATGCCCTGACTGTCATCGCGATGTAAAAATGACATTTAACACGATTTCTAATGTGACAATAATTATTCAGTTCTATAGTATAAAAAGTATAGAACAAGTTGTAAAAATGTTTAATTCAGTGGAATCTGCCTTAGAATTAGGTTGAAGTGACATCACTTTGGAAAATCCATTTAATTGATGTTTGAAGTACACACTGATCGTCACACTCTTCTAACTAAGGGTTATGGGTTTAATCGTTATTTAAGTTTCATTTATGTACGACCTTGAGGTTATGTTAGACATATAGATCTAATCTATTGGATCCTACATTTTAAAATAGATATAGGAAGATGTGGTATGAGTGCCAATGAGACAACTCTCCATCCAAGTTACAATTTATAAAAGTAAACCATTATAGGTCAAGGTACGGCCTTCAACACGGAGCATTGGCTCACACCGAATAGCAAGCTATAAAGGGCCCCAAAAAATTACTAGTGTAAAACCACTCAAACGGAAAAACCAACGGTCTAATCTATATAAAAACGAGAAACGAGAAACACGTATGAACTACATAAACAGACGACAACTACTGTAATCAGATTCCTGACTTAGGACAGGTGCAAACATTTGCAGCGGGATTAAACGTTTTAATGGTACAAAACCTTCTCCCTTTTCTGAAACAATAGTATAACATCACAACATGGAAAAACACACTATAAAATATCAATTGGAAGGCTTAACTCAATCAAAAAACGTAAATTAACACACAACGATACATGTTTTAATTTTACTGTCTTTGTTTTTGTTGACATTTTAGGTCATTTTATTTAATCTTCCAAATTTTCGCAATATTGTATGGTCTTTGTATACAAAAAAATAAAACTCTAAATGAGCTATATTCGGATCATTTCGTAAGCAAATAAGAGATTTTCCTACTAAACTTCACAGTATTACAGATTTGTTAGTAAACTTAATGTTCTGTCATTTTTTTTATTTTATTTGGGGAAATTTTATGAAACACTTATGCTTAATGAGGACTTTAAATTTACATTTATAGTCTTTTAAAATAAGTCGGATTGTTAAATTATTGGTAGTAGCTGATTCCTATGTACTAAAATGGAATTAAAAGACTACTTTCTTGTAAGTTTTTTTTTGCTTTAAGCAATGAAATGCTACAAAAGGAAAGTAGACTTTATTTAATAACAGACGCTGTTTAAGTTTTTAAAGAAGAATAGGAGAAAAACTACGACATGGAAGACATAATAAACATATGCAGTTCATTGTGTTTTAATGTTGAATAATGTTTCTAGATTTTCTTGATATTTGATGCTTTAACATTACGAAAAAGTTAAATTGCACTGTATTTTACCTATACATGTAGTTGATTGCACATGTATGTTAGAATTGTACGTCACTGCTTTAGTTGATGTAAAGCTATTTATGGTCCAGTGACAAATGTTTCATGCATTTCGAGAATGACTTTTTAAGATACGAATAAAAAGAAAAGTGTGAGTAAACAAAAGTTGGACAGCAATCTAACAACACTAAAGCCGAACGACATCTAGAGATCAACATACACTCTTCAACACTAAGCAGGTGTCCATAAAACCTGTAAATTTGTAGATAGCAACATGTCTAAGAAAGTTGTCAATAAATGTAACAGCGGTAATCAAAGATAAGACATCAATACCACATTCTCCAAATTATAAAAACAAACCCATTAAGATATGACAAATGACAACCGCTTAAGAGGTTCCTTACGTGGGCAAAGTTGACCTGTTTTGGTTTTGGCTTTTTTGTTTATGTCTCTCTTGCTCATGTGCTCCTCAAGTATATATTCATCTTTGGCTTTTTTGTTTATGTCTCTCTTGCTCATGTGCTCCTCAAGTATATATACATCCTTGGCTTTTTTGTTTATGTCTCTCTTGCTCATGTGCTCCTCAAGTATATAAACATCCTTGGCTTTTAAATTATTGGTTTGCGCGTTTCTGGTGAAAGTAAATCCGGAAAGCGCCTCGAACGCACACATTTGTAAACTGTTATTAATTGGGACACTGTCAGACACAAGAACTATGTGTTTGGATAGGGAATAAACTCAGTCCTCCCATTTAATCTTCTAATTTTTATATATATAAACTGAAAGTTTGCAACATTCCATCGATATTCTGTCACCAACAGAAATGTGAAAGACTGATTAAGTTTAAATTTTATTCAAATACAAATCTTTTAAACTGTTTATTCTTCAGAATTCATGATCCGATGATGAATGTTTGAGTAATATATACAGGGTAAAATGGCATTTCCACTTTTTTAATGACACGTTCAATGGGTAAATATAAGACGTGGTTGTATTCATATCAATTTCAAATGTAAAAATAGTACACTATATTAAATAACATCAGGTTTGTCAAGGTTCAAATACTCTGCTTCCTTCCGTGTTTAAAGAACCAACGAAATAAAAAGTAAGTGCTTATTTAATATTGTTTCCGATGGTTTATTTTTCAGCTATATACATTTAAGTTTATAATGCATTTCTTATTTTAAGATACATGATTACCTTATTGTTTATCACATATACCATTACATTTGAAATTACACTTTTTCCATTCCTCTGTTCACCAGAGTCAATGGTCTTAGGAGACAAAGGTTATTTTGTGTACTCCAGTGTTAATTCAAAAACTCGCATGAAATAAGCAAATTTGGTCACTTTTTGTTAAATAGTTTGAACCTGTTCGTGCAAGTCCTCAAATGTTCAGAAATGAAGTGTAGAATTAGGGGGGAGGGATGGGGGGGGGGGGGGGGGTAATTGACAGGTCACAACTTGCATGATACTATAAATAGTTATGTTTTACCTATACAATATAACAAAATTAGATTTTAAGCATTGTATTTATTTACTTTCATGAAAACTGACATGAAAATAACCGTCAGTAGATATATATTCTTATACATGTAGTTGCCTGAAATACAAATGACCCACATAAACTAATATCGTGTATGGCAAAACCATTAATTGTGGTATTTGTTGCCAGGGCACCTAAAATACGGTGAGATTAAAGTTTATGCTTAATGAACTGAAACCTCACTCATCTTTGAGGGTCATTAACATTGCCAGATAATGACTTAAAACTAGAACCAAAAGGAAAACGCATAACAAATTTATTTCAAGTTTCCAAAATGTTTCTAATAAAAAATAATTTCACACTGTGTGTTTCCAAAAATAATTTGCAGTATGAGGAATTCATAGAGGTTTGATAATTTAATTACTGAAAGCAAGCATTTTAGTTCAGTATGACTCATAAGGTGGTTGATTTTCTACTCCTTATAGAATACCGTATATAATAAATAATAGTAGAAGCTATTATAAGACACCCTTTTCCTATTGTAAACCGATCCTTAACCAAGGCCAAATAATTAAATGACTGATTCCTGATCAATGTCATTATCAATATTCTTAAAGTATATGTCCCAATCTAGGAGTTTGTAGTCCAGTGATTCTGTTTGGTTTCTTGTTTTATAAAAAATAAGGCCATTAGTTTTCCCTCTTTGAATTGGTTCAGATGTTGTCACCTTTTTATAGCTTACTATTCTGTTTTTCTTATTGTTTGTTAAGGCATACGTTCACCTGTAGTTGTGTATATCTTTGTTCTTGGTGTTTTGTGGATAGTTGTCTCATTGGAATTCCGAAATAATACAACAACTAGTCTTCTCCAATATACAGGTGTCTATACAATATGTCATGCTCTTAATCACCACAAGACGAATAAAAAGTTATGGATAAATGCCACCAACACTGTATTCTCCAAATAAGAAAAAGAATTAAGATGTAAAAAAGATAACAACCGACAATGTTCTTGTCTTGGGACAGCTACTGAAACAAATGGCTGGGTTAAACTAGTTTTTGTGTTTAACGAAACTGTCTCGAAGCATGCATGTCGAATAATTATTAACAGAAGTAGAAATATTCATACTTTAAATAATTTGTGTTTAGTTTATGGTAAACACATTCTATGTTATAATAAAATAGTAAATGGTCTCTTACAATTTTCTATAAAATAGCTGAAATTTTATATCTTTATGGTATTATGCATTGTTGACAGATGAGACTTTTAAATGACACTAAACTATATAGATTTGAATGATGTTAATGCCTAGGAATATGTAATAAATTAATAATTTCTCGATTTCGATAGGAAATTACATGAATGGCAACTTTCTTCTTTTATCAGAAGCATTTTAGGAAGTATGAAAGTATAAAAATGTGGCCGCCATCTAGGTCGCAGATGATCGATGTTTTAGATTACAGGCTGTTCTAAGTTCGATTACCGGTCATGTCAAACAAGAATTGAACCTGGTATATGTTTTGCTTCATGCCAAACATGCTACATTTGAAATTAGATCGAGCAAAGACTAGTCGACTCGGGTCAGAATAAAGTGTAAGCTAGGATGACATGTATTCATATGGACTGTTGCCGTTTTAACTATCCGATTCTTGTACAAAATGTGACGTAAATACGGTCTGATACAAAATATAACATAAACCTCTGTTTTTTATCTTCATAAATAATGACAGATGTATTTTATATGTACCGACAGCCTTTCAATATCAAGGAAGAAAATTCTTCTGAAATTGTATGATATATAAATTGCAATTGGCTGTTTAAAGTTTAAATCTTTAGCAGTCATTACATTATTTCAATGAAAAATGATTGATTGTTGTTTGCTTATCGTCTAGTGGCAAACATTCATGCATGTTCAAGACGAGAACAATTTAATAATCAAACTACTTCAATTCACGTGGATTCTACAGTTTTATGCTACGAATGCATATTTAATATTACTTGTTAAACTTTTTATTACATTAGTACTTTTTTTTTAATTAATGGTCTTATGGTTTTTTAATTGGATATTCATTTTTAGATCAATATGTCTGCATTAAGAAGCGTAGTACTACTACCATTTACAGCGGGAAGAGTCATTGGTCGACACGGTAGAAAATCTCAACACGATGGAAGCCTATCATCTGTTGTCATGCTAACAGTCATTTTTGCTCTTACATCAGCCAACATAGTAGTGACTGTGTATGAACCAATAGAACCAAAAGGATCATTCGATATGACTTATATCTTGTTAATGTCACTACAAAGTTTGGGCCTTCTTTCTTGTATTTGTCTTCCAATTTTACTCAAAACCAAGATAATAATTTCAGAAAAACAGGAAGTTAAACCAGCAATTAAAATTAGACTCTTTTTTCTGTGTATTTTTGCTTTTGGAGGATTATTTCACATATCGACACACCTGGCATGCAATATGTCTGGATTTATGATACGCCACAATCATTTCTTCAAGTCAGAAATTATTTGTGATATTTTAGGTATTTTATATTATCCCGTACAAACAGTTGTTGTAGTCGTTTTGGTTCAATATCAACTTAAACCGTCAGTTCTTGTTCATTATTTACTCATTTTCCAAATAGGAACATACATTTCCTTTTGGAATTATTACTTGCTTCAAGGTCTTCGTGCGCCTTCAAAGGAAGGATTGAGCATACATGAAAATTGTGGAAACAACACAGATATAATTGAATTGTTTAATTCGACAGAACCATTTCTTGCACCTACTGTTATAGCATTTACTTTGATGGTGGTTTTATTACTGGCTTCAACGTGGCCTGTAACTACCCTTCTACAGGCGTTACCGATTAGCCAATTATCGGTAGACAACAACGAAGAAACCCAACTGATTGTAGAAAGATCACCTGAAAATATGCCAACGGGATGCCGGGAGATTTCTAAAAAATCTAGTTTTGCATTTCTTTGTGGAATTTTCATCAATATTCCATTGTTGATTTTTACATGTCTATATGATGTACATTCAACTGACGAAATAAAACTACCGTTTTATATAATCGCACTTATTTCCAAAATCATCCTGTTTGTAGCTATTTCAAGAGGATACATGTTAATTCCGAAAGATTGCAAGGTTTTGCTTAGCCGCGTCAAAATTATCGCTATTGCAAACTGTCTTCTAATTTTTGGATTATGGGGAATGGTTTTCTTCGAATGTCTGAATTTTATCAGCGTTTATAATGAAGACTGGACCGAGGTTAAACTGGTATATTTACTGCAGAATATATTAGCGTCATTGACGGCTTTGCAGTTAACTATATTTCTACTACAAATGAAGCATTACGAAAAACGAAGACGTCCACTGGCTTGGTCGTCAATAGAAATGAACTGTATTTTCCTTGTGGGATTTTTACTGGTTTACTGGATTATTGATACTTTTATTGCATCACATAACCTTATATCAACTACAGATACAGCAACCGAGAATTCAATTTTAACAGTAATGGGACGTATTGTTTTCCCGTTTGTTTTATTTTTTAGATTTCAGTGTATTTTGCAGCTCTATGAGATTTATAAGATTTTTGGAACCTGATCATTCTTTAATAGGGCCCGGATCAAGGATGATGCAGCCCTATAGTTTTCACTTTGTCTGTCTGTTTGTCTGTCTGTCCGTCCACAATTTTTGTAACCACAAAACTCTAAAAGTATAGATAAGAGGCCAATGGAATTTTGCACAGTTGTTGTGCATCATATGTTGATTTTGGTGAAACTCGGCTCATTAATTTAGGTAAAATCTTCGTTTTTGTTAAATAATCACAAATTCTGGGACATGTCTTCTTATAATAGGATTTTAACAAAGCCTGATATATACCGGTATAGGTGTATCAAAATGCATTCAAAATTGCGTTCTTAAGCCAAAATGGTGTTCAAGACTTAGATTTTCTTAAAAAATGATAAATTCTGAGAAACATATTTCTTGCTAGGATTTAAATGAAAAAGGTATCATGTGCTATTACGAAATGATTATGTGTGTCAAAATTATTGGTTGCCCATCATTTACGAAAATGCCCACCAAAATACATGTCATATTGGTTGGATTTTAAGTAAACCTATATTAATAGAGAACACATCCTGAATTATTTGCTGGTGTCAAAGTTTATGAAAATAGACAACCTATACACTTGTTTGTATGCATCAGTCTCTTTGCCTCACATAAAAATGTGCAAGCGGGGCCCTTGTCGACATGTTAGTTTTTTCCAGTTTTCACCAATAAAGCTAATATTTGTAAATATGAAATTTTATTTCCTGCTGTATATACATGTATCCTTGCAATTTTTTTTAATTTTAGTAGCAATGATACCATTTAGGGGAATAAGCACTACATTTTGTATACTTGTATTTTAGTTGTGTTGGCTGCTATGTCTGAAGGTGTTTTAGATGATCAACCGTAATTCATGTAAGCATTCTTAGACTATCATAAATACATCGTATATGAAACAAAATTCAAATGTGCCACTTAAAGTTTCACGGAATAGTTCTTTCCCTATTTCACTTTTTACACGCCATTTATTGACTTGTATCAATGTATAATACCGTTTGTCCATTCATACGTCGAACAATAGCTCGAGAGCGATTTGGTCATTAACACCGTATACAACTGACCCTTTTTTGAAACCCGAAGGATACGACCCTTTACCACTGTTTACTTGAAGGGCGTGTCAATCTCTGTATGCATTCCATTTTATTTTCTCAAAATTCTTAAATTTGATATAAGTCCTGTTTTACATCCTTAGTCTAAATGAACAGATGTAGCAATTCGATGTAATATTTTTTTTTGGTTTAAATAACAAAAAATGCACGATATTTTGTAAAAAGTGAATGTATAAATTTTTTCTCAATAAATATGAGCAAAACTTGTCTTTTTTTCTGTAACCGAGTGAGGCATAAGCTAACAAGTATTCGATTACTGAGCGGTTTAATTTAAATGTCATTTTTCCAAAATCGTTTCTATAACCTGTCTGTTACCGTTTTATTAAAATGGCTTTATGGTTTGTATCGATCTGATGAGTTATAAGCCTTTTCAACTGAATTTTATAGTTTGTTCTTATGTTGTACTGTTACACCACTGTCCAATGTTAGGGGGAGGATTTGGTGTCTGCAAACATGTTTTAATCTGCAACATTTTGTATGTGCCTGTCCCAAGTCAGGATCCTGTAATTCAGGGTTTATCGTATATCATATTTGTTTGTTGTTTTATTGTTTTGTACATAAATCAGGCCGTTAGTTTTCTCGTTGGATAGTTTTGTCATTTCGGGGTCTTTAATAGCTTTAATATCCCATTTTCCCCGAATGTGACCTACCGAATTAGACTTATCACCGGGTTTGTACTAACACGAGCAACACGACGGGTGCCATATGTGGAGCAGGATCTGCTTACCCTTTCGGAGCATCCGATATCACCCCTAGTTTTTGGCGGGGTTCGTTTTGCTCAATCGTTAGTTTTCTATGTTGTGTTTTATGTACTGTTGTTTGTATGTTGTCTTTTGTCTTTTTTTTGTCATGGCGTTGTCAGTTTATTTTCGACTTATGAGTTTGAATGTCCCTTTGGTATCTTTCGCCTCTCTTTTAATGTGCGGTATGGGTTTTGCTCATTGTTGAATGCCATACGGTGAACTATTATAATTGTTTTATGTCTATGTCATTTGGTCTCTTGTGGAGAGTTGTCTCATTGGCAATTATACCACATTTTCTTATTTTTTATACGTAGACTTTAGGATACATCGTCGTATTCACTGACGGTCCATTATGTATCAATGTCATTAGGTGTACTATGTAGAATTGCATTCCCGATACATCATTCCTCATATCTCTTTAATTAATTGCACAAGGTATTTATGAATTTTGTCTTGGTATGATCAGTTTAATTATGATATCAAAAAGTCATTGATGATTGCAAATTGGAAATAGACGTCTGATCAAAACAAGGGAATATGCACTTTACTATTTATAATGTTTTAAAAAATAGTTATTTCGATAATATTTATTAAACTGAAACAGTTGAAAACACGCTGAATTATCCAAGAAAAGAAGAAATATAAAGAAACAAACAAAATATTATTGGTCGGTTGTACTGTGCGTGAATGGAATTGATGATGTCCTCTCACTAAATAATTCAAAGTTTGGTGACTATGTTAAATACATCTATCCAATCGAATATGAAATAAAGGATACAACAGATACAGTTAAGCCTGCCTTATATATTGACTTACGTCTAGAAAATGAACGTCGTTCGAGAACAAAACTTGACGACAAAAGTGACGATTTCAGCTTCCCAATTATGAGTTTTCCCTATCTATGTAGAAACATTCCAGCAGCGCCTGCATATAGAGTATATATCTCTAAGTTGATGTTGCATTTCATATAATGATTTTTCTTGATATAGACTGTTGTTGCTTAATAGGAAGCTTTTGAACCAAGAGCTCAAAGTTGTGAAGTTGAAATCATCCCTTTGAAAATTTTACGGACAATTTTGAAATATCTGTTTCACATATAACTGCAACTACAGTCCTCTTCGAATGTGACATCATCGAATTTGTACTTACATGTGTAATACGACGGGTTCCACATGTGGATCGGGATCTGATTACCCTACCGGAGCACCAGAGATCAACCTGGTTTATGGCGGAGTTCGAAAAGCTCAGCAAGACAAGATCTACAAATATGTTAAATGGTTAAAATCGCCAGACGTATCTTTATTGGAGTTATTGTTCTTTGATGACGATTTTTATCAATATTTAACGTGTTTGCCTATTATCTTGAATACTTTAAAAGATAGACACTTTAAACAGCAAAAACAATCAGCAAGATCTACAATTGAAAACAAAGTTTGTCGATATCGTTAGTAGACTCTTCATTGGAGTGATTTCCCTATAATTACATATTTTTGTGTTTTGGGCAAAAACTAAAGAAGATAGAGAGAAACTGTAAATAGAAAAAAAAAATTATCGGCAATACAAGATCAACAAAAAAGAGATTTTTTTCATGAATTCTATTCTAGTCCACAATGTTGGAGAGTGCCCATTGCTGAAGATGCACATAGACCTAGGTGAGCGACGCAGAATCTTAAAGACAGTCACACATGTTTAATTTGCTTTGAATTTTGCCAAGTGAGTGTAAGGATTTTGTATGACTAATAACAAACCTATTAGGTCGAGGAATACAGTTATCAGCCTTTGATTTTTGTGGTCTACGAGTATGGTTCCTAGTGTGGACAGTGTATTACTTGCATTTCTTTTTTCATACACCTTCCAAATTTAATTCTTCATATTTTATGCATAAATTAAGGCGACAGCAGTTTACCGATGTTCATATCTCGTAAATCGATTAGCGAGAGGAAAAATCAGGGTAACAAAACAAAAATTGAGTTAAAAGCACAAACTCTTAAAGGAGCGATTAGCATCTACTGCTATGAAATATTTTAGTCATCTTGCATTATTTGAAAGCCCAAACCCTGGAAAAAAACTCAACACACAGATAGAGAAAACCAAAAACCCTGGAAAAAAACTCAGCACACAGAAAAAAAATGTTAAAATAAAGTTTTGATGAAGGCGATCGCAACAATCACTTGCATTTATTATTTATAAAAACCGGGTTCCAATAGTAAACGAAGCACTCAATACTATGATGACAAAATATGCTCCTATAAAGAAAACCGTATTAAGTCTTTTGACAACGTCTATTTTTCTTATAGTATCATTCACACGCTGTTTCGCATTTTCGTTAGAAGTTTCGTTGTCATTTATTTTGTTTGAGGTTACAAAAACACACACAAATCTTTTTAAACATGGCGATAGAACTTCCTCTCCTGGAGAAAAGTAGTATGTTAATATTGCGACATTGATGACAACAGTTACACCGCTTATTATCGTTAATACTGCTATATAAAGCATAATAGCAGGAATCGGATCTGACAAAGATGGTATTTCTGAATTTACTAGTGTCAAAACAACTGTAAATGAAAGAAATATAGAGGTACTAAAAGATACACGCTCTCCCGAATCAACTGGAAGCAAAAACACCAAAGGGATCAATAAACCAATTACGTATATTGGAATTAAAACGGTAACCGTAAAATACAACCAAGAACGCTTAATATTAAGAGTCACCGTAACCTGCCCTTTCGACTCTACTTCAAGTGATGACGAATCAAGCGTCCATTCTTTGTTGGTTGCAAAAAAGTCGGTGTTAACTGTCGTTTGCGATATTACAAACATAACTTCAGTTGATGATGATCCAAATGCTACAACTTGGATGCTACATGATTGTCTATCAAACGGAAAGTTTTCCAGATTTGGAGAGCACTTTACTTTCATTACATTTCCAGGATACCAAGTCACTAAGCCGAAATGGGACACTGATAATTTGGTGTCTAATGACTTACCAAATGGAGTAAACTTTTCCGCTTGATTGATTATAAATAAATCAGGAATCCATATATCGGATTGAGGCACGTTTATTGATGACAGACCACCATATGACGATGGGGTCCACACTAACGATGCATCGGTCCATGAACAGTTTAAAATACCCACCAAAGACAACGTTCCTTCTACTGTATTAAATTCGTTAATAGCCAATAAGAGAAAATCCATCTGAAAATTAACTCTAGTGGATTGGTCTAACACTGGCTTCACATTTTTATTATAATCCGTAAACAGACTAGAATACAAACTTTTTGTTTGTGAAATGCTCTGTGGTATAACAATCCTGATGTTCACCAGGATCAAAACACAAAACACAAGTAACATCTTCTGTATTTACAAAGGAATTTATGCAATAACCGTATAGCGTCTAAATTTGTTTATCGACGATTTAATTTTAAAGAGATATATACTAGTCAACAAAAGTAACGATACACAAGTTTGAACTCAAATTTATCATAGAATATAATAAATAGGAAAAACTGTTAAATTATGTAATGAAAATCATTCATTTGCAAAGCAAATGCATATGATTAAAAGAATCTGACCAAATTAGAAAGTGAGAAAATACCGTGTTATTGAACACAGGGGTCAAATTTATTTTGCGGAAAATGATGACAAAAGTCGGCACTTAATTTCGAAGATGAAAATTAAGTATTCAAATATCTGCAAAGGCATTCAAAATTTTAAGCAGATAATGTTTCAGTTTAAAGTTCTAAGTTCTAATATCGATTTTTTAATTTTTGGGTGAAAAATACGATTTTTGAAATAACAAAAATTGCAAAAAAAAAAAAATTCGCGTATTTGCCTTAAATTAATGGTTTTGATAAGAAAACAACACTCTGTAAATATTAAACCAATTGGGCAATTATTTACCTTGGTACAGCGAATCAAATTTCATTATGTATGGAAAATACGTTGCCTTGTATCGTTTCTTTTGTTGACTAGTATACTTAAAACACATATTGTATAGATCGACCTATTATTCATAAGACGGTCCTTTTGTCTTAACATTGTAATTTGTTCAATATCAAAAAGAATGAAGTTGATAGATATAACTGTTAACATGATTGATCGCACTTTATAAATTAAATAAATTATAGCTTCAATGATTTGACATCACAATAACTGGTACGTTTACTGATTAGCCATGTGATATCCATGTATATTCATTTCCAAAATACAGTGCCATTGAGAATAATAAATCTAAACAAAACAGGCAATTCAAATACTAGTAGTCTAAACTTTACATTTATTTGTATGACTCTCCCCTAATTTGCCGTAGCACATTGTATTAGCAATATCCATCATTCAAAAATACATCAGTTGTACGGGCTTTTATTATGTTTATGCCTGCATATATATAAACTATAACTATAACTATTGTAAAATGGCAATGACTGGAAATGCCAGTTCCAAGTCAGGAATATGGCAGTTATTTTCTATTCCGTTGTTTGGTATAATGGAGCTTTCAAATTGTCAGGTTTTATGTAATTCCCCTTTTTCAATTTACCGCGGAGTTCGGCATATCTATTAATGCTTTTATATAAATCTGAGTTTTTTTTTCTATTATCTTTATCTAAATTATCTAAATTGTCTATATTATTAACTCTCTGTATTTATTTAGATATACACGGAAGGTTGCTGTTGATATAGTGCATCGTTTAGAGTAAAATAAAAAAGCTACCAAAAAGTAAAATACTTTGAATTGTTGTTAATTGATACTTATTATTATTTAGAGTCGAACGATTGTACTGAGAGGTATGCTTTATTGATATTATTTGAAGTATAATAAAGTATAGAATAAAATAGCATATTACAAATGGTTTCATTTTTCTTGTTTTTCATTGTTTTTTTTTTGTCACGTGTTTCCCAATATATATTTTGTATTATTTCACTATTTTGACAGATTGATTCGACGTTACTATTGATAAAAAAAGTAAAACAACAAAAATACCAAACTCCAAGGGAAATTCAAAACTAAAAAAATGGCAAAATCAAAAGCTCAAAAACATCAAACGGACGGAAAACAACTGCCATATTCCTGACTTGGTACAGGTGTAATACCACCAAATCATAGTACGTCACATACGAAAATAGGTCGAAAAAAATATTCCCTTGAATTTGACAGTTGTAGGTAATTGATCCTACATCTCATTGCAGTAAAACATTTCTGGGTCATAAACATATATATCTTGGGTATTTCAAAGCACCATTATTTTTTTATTTGGGGTTTCTATAGAATATTTTGGAAACTTGAGGTTACATGGTTACTAAAGCTTGTACACAGGTTAAAAAAGGGGGAAAATTTGATTGGTTAACTTCCAGTGATGGTTATTTTCTTATATGCAATGAAATGTTATGTGAAATTTTTTCTATAGTACTGGACAGGATAAAACTTTACTCATGCCAAGTATTTCTTCATTTGAAACAAAGATAAATTCTGCACAATTTTTTGAAAAGTGCAAATTTAACAAAGACTAATAGGGGAAAATCAATGGTGGTATTACACCTACAGGCATTTCCTTATGTAGAAAATGGTGGATTAAACCTGGTTTTATAGCTAGCTAAACCTCTCACTTGTATGGCAGTCGTATAGAAATCAGTTATACTGACAGCAATGTATGAGCAAAACAAACAGACATAATAGGTAAAAATGTCAAAAATTGGGGTACAGCAGTCAACATTGTAATATAATCTTAATCACTATAAAAACAAATTGGCATATAGACACTCTAAAGTACATAAGCAAAAATGAAAGACAAGAATACAAAATTGACTATAGCACAATACACAATGGTGGGATGCATAAGTACCCAGCCACGCCAAAAGTATATTATCAAAAATGGACTAAACAGTAAAGGTAAAACATGTACAAGGACAAATAAAAAGACCACTATAACACGTAATCAAACAGAGGCAAAGGATACCAAAGGGACATTCAAACTCATAAGTCGAAAATGAACTGACAATGCTATGGCTAAAAAGAAAAGACAAACAGACAAACATTAGTGCATAAAACACAACATAAAGAAAGACTGAGCAACACGAACCCCACCAAAAACTGGGGGTGTTCTCAGGTGCCCCGGAAGGGTAAGCAGATCCTGCTCCACATGTGGCACCCGTCGTCAAATGATAAACAACGTTAGTACCTAGAATCTATACTTCAAGACCATCATGTATTATATGTGAAGTTGATACGGAATATTTATCATCTTCCAATGAACTTAAAAAAAAAAAATATCAACTCCGTGTTACTAAAACTCGTGACATCGAGTAAATATCATTTCCAAAAAAGTAACATCGAGTCAATATCATTTTCAAACTTACACTATTTATATTTACATATGTAATACATAAATTAAGGACTTTCACTCGTTCAATACGTTATATATGGACCTCTTAGATTATGTGAAATAGTTATAAACAATGCTTATTCTATATACGTTAATAAAAATAAGCTCAAAATACTTAACCTGCTGATATGAAATTATGCCGCCTTTCACTCAATAGATGCGGCTGACTTCGGAGAAGACGACATAAACATTCTAAGATGAAATGATGATGTGCAATGCCCAGAGTAAGGAACTTCAGTTCTTCAAAACAATTGTTATTGGTCCTCAAAATACCAGACATAATAACTAAACAAAATATTTTGATAGCATAAGAGTAAAGAAAAATTTGAAGGAGAAATCCCTAATATATTGGGTTTATAGATAGTATTACGGTTAAAGATTGTTTTTACATATAAGTACCAGTTTTTATAAAGTTATTTTCTGCAGATGTCATCCCACATGTACTTCCATAACTCTTCCTTATATTTGCGATAAAAGGTTATGAATAATTCATAATATATATTGACGTTGGATTAAGTATGATAAGATAAAGGGTATACATTTCATTTAAATTTTGGATTTCACAGAATATACATTGTTAAAATATCTATCGGAAGTTGAAAATATCTAAGTAGGAACTTGCTCGGTCTGTATGAAAATTAAAGTTATATTTTTCTCTTCCTCTACATCACTTATGGATAGCTATCATATGGTCAACTATTTCGTGTATATCAGAACGAGACCAAATTAACAATAAACCCAGCTGGTAGGGTCTGCAAAATGGAAGGATCGGTATAAAGGGCGGGAATTGCGACTGCCACCGAATATGGGGATATGTTGGATAGGGTATACATTTTGCCTTGCAAGATGACACCTATAGTTTTGAGTACCAGTCAAAAAGTCGTTACAAGGATTTTCAAAACTACAGAGTACGTGGCACACTCCTTACACAAGGCATCGGATTTAGTTGCTAGTCTCCTGTATTTAATAAATATCGTCTAAATTAATTTACTTAGAATACAATTGTGTGATAATAATTCTTAAATGAGTTAAAAGAGATGTAGGACAAACTTCAACGAGACAATTTCCAAACGCCACAAAACCCCCAAAAGCCACAAAAATCCAAAACTAATTTGTTCTCTTTATGTACCTTTGTATGGTCTGCATTTGTAATACTGTGGACTCATTATTATTCGTGGGATACCAATTTTCGTGGATTTCGTGAGTACAGGTAAACCACGAATTTAAATTTCAACGAATTACTAATTTTCTATTGGGTAGTATGCAGACTTTGGAAAAACCACGAAATCATATGTCCACGAATATGCAAGATTTCATCAATCCACGAAAATTGGTACCCACGACAATAAATGAATCCACAGTATTTCATTTATTCTTAAATTTTGTTAACCAGGTTTTATTAGTCTTATTGAGTCCGTTTGGCAGTGCGGGATGTATAGATACGCAGCCACATTCAGTGAATTTGAACGTTAAATTCGAAGTTTCATGTAAGGTGTGTGTCACACTCTCTTCAGATCAAAGCACAGTTGCAACAATGTCCTGAATGGTACTAAATGATAAGGTTGAAATCTCAGATGAGCTTTGTTTTCCTCTACAATTTTGTTCAATAATTATGTTCTTTTATTTTGCAGCGGCCTTTCTCTTTTTTTTTCCTTTCTATATACAACTTGCTTTGTTTGAATTGTCGTTGTGAAAGGTTTATATCAGAGCCATAATTAAAGATTATTTAAAAGATGATTGTTTGTTATCAATTAATTCCTCATTATTCATGGATTTTGAACATGTTTCAGTCTTTTTTTTTAACAAAAATCGATA